TAAATGTAAAATCTTCTATTGACATAATACCGATTGCGCTATATAGAAATATATATCCAGTTGCCAATACTGCTAGCAGTTGAGAGGTTTCGGGGGTCTGGAGATCCTTTTCCATCATATATGTCTGTCACTCTAAGACTATGTTCAAACAAGCTTCGTCTTATATAAGAGCAGTGTGTACCGAACAATTTCAGCAGATTTAAAGGCTTTGTCAAATCAGGGGTAGGCAAACTCCGGCCCTCCAGCTGTGGTGCAACTACAATTACCATGCACACAGGCATGACTCCCAGAGGCAGATGCATTATTTGTAGTTTCACCACAGCTGGAACGCTGGAGTCTTCCTAACCCTACTTCACATCACCCTCCAGTGTGGGGTGGTTAAACAAATGCATATCTTAATATGAATGCTGAGTGTCACTTTAAACAAGCTTCTAGCAGGATTTAGTAGGCTTTGAAGCTTGTTGAAAGACTGCTAGCTAAAGTTTAAAGTCCTTTCTCATATTAACATGAATTTTTACCTTCTCATATTAGAGCTGGAGGTTGCTTCAAATGCATCAACAAAGTTTGCTGAAAGCTTTACAGAATCTTGTTGCACACTGACCTTCTACAAGCTGAAGCCTGTGTGAACAAGGCCTAAAAGCAATTTTACAACTAAATAACATAACTCTAGATGAACTGAATTTTCATTCAATGCATACGTAACGCAAAGGCTGCCTGAGGTGATCCATTCTTAAAAATGGGTGTTTGTGCTGATTGCTGCACTTAGGAAATCTACAAATGTTTGCTTGCAGCATACAATAGTTTTGGGAAATGTTTGCACTACTATCACAGGAAAAGCAGGTCAGGATTATAATATAGTTTTTATTGTTTGCTATATACATAGGCTGGACAATGTTGTAAGTTACACAGCAGCTGATATTTCTAAACCAGAGAAAGCAAACCTCTGAGCAAATTTCAAAAGTATAATGTAAATCTGTGCTTCAGTTTCCCTGCATCAGTGATGCCACTTATTATAAATCTGTGAGATGAGAAATGTGGGAACTGTTCATGGTGTGTAAATCATGTGAACACAACACCTCCCCTTTTCTAAGTCACTTTGCCCACTCTTCTAAGCATGTATACTTGCCCCACGAGGCTCCTACTTCACCTCTGCACTGCCAGAGTCCTCACTAATGGAACAGGGCTTTTCCATATGGTGAAGCATATGACCTCCCCCATGTGACCATCCTTGGTCTGAGCAGCCAGTTACTAGACTCGAACACAGATCGGGGGATAACATCATGGCAAACCTCCCCATGTGACCATTGATGCTCGTGCTGGGGGGGGGGGGGG